GCACAAAGAAACAAAGGAATATATAACCATAAGATAGCCCCTTTACTTGGATATGCTTTTGAATTTGCCATTCAACTTAAATTTAGTGTTGGTTTAGATTTGTATAAGAGACAGGAAAATGCACATGCTGCTGGGGTCGGGGGAAATTAATAAATGCAATAATGCATGGGATTAATTGTCACATTCAATAAACATCAAGTTCATGATCTTTTTTTTTTTTTTTTTATCTTTGTTCATGATCTAAAAAACCATTCATTCCATCGTATTCATGTTGTTGTCGCCTACGGTTAGGGCTGAGCACTATATCATAAATATCAGAATTATCATTATATCATCTTATTATCAGCAAAAACGGTACAAAAAATTACAATATGATAGGTTTAAATGATAATATGACAATACAATTTAGACATGTGGTACGTGATTAGTATTTGAGGTCATTACTATATTTACCATATGGTTACTGAATTTACCACTTGTTCAAAATTTTTTTTTCAATTTTAGAATATTTTTAATAATTTTTTTCCTAACACGATGGTATTTTTTGAAAATTTTCCAACAATTTGGCAATATAAATAGTAATATCTCATTATCCCTACCCAACTCTCTTCCTCTACTTCAATCTCTTCCACCAGAGAGAGAAATTGTCTCTTTCTCCACTCCTCAAAAACCCTCAGATCTGTGGCCTACAATTGCTACGGGATGGAGACAAGCAGATTTAGAGATGGATTTCCGGTGATGGAGTGAGATGGATGAAGAAACCTATAGCTACTGGAGATGGAGATCGAAATGGGAGGTGATGGTCAATGATGATGATGGTGGTGACGGTGATGATGCGAATGGTGGTTATGGCCAGAATTGGGGGGAGGGGGCTCCAAGGAGAGAAAGATCGGGCTTTTTTTTTTTATAATTCTACGCTGTTTTCAATTGTTACTGGTTTTTTTTTTTTTTTTTATCTTTGTTCATGATCTAAAAAACCATTCATTCCATCGTATTCATGTTGTTGTCGCCTACGGTCAGGGCTGGGCACTATACCATAAATATCAGAATTATCATTATATCATCTCATTATCAGCTAAAACGGTACAAGAAATTACAATATGATAGGTCTAAATGATAATATGACAATACCATTTAGACATGTGGTACGTGATTAGTATTCGAGGTCATTACTATATTTACCATATGGTTACTGAATTTACCACTTGTCCAAATTTTTTTTTCAATTTTAGAATATTTTTAATAATTTTTTTCCTAACACGATGATATTTTTTGAAAATTTTCCAACAATTTGGCAATGTAAATAGTAATATCTCATTATCCCTACCCAACTTTCTTCCTCTACTTCAATCTCTTCCACCAGAGAGAGAAATTGTCTCTTTCTCCACTCCTCAAAAACCCCCAGATCTGTGGCCTACAGTTGTTACGGGATGGAGACAAGCAGATTTAGAGATGGATTTCCGGCGATGGAGTGAGATGGATGAAGAAACCTATAGCTACTGGAGATGGATATCGAAACGGGAGGTGATGGTCAATGATGATGATGGTGGTGACGGTGATGATGCGAATGGTGGTGATGGCCAGAATTGGGGGGAGGGGGCTCTAAGGAGAGAAAGATCGAGCCTTTTTTTTTTTAATTCTACGCAGTGTTCAATTGTTATTGATGGTCAATGATGATGATGGTGGTGACGGTGACGATGCGGATGGTGGTGATAGCCGAAATTGGGGGGAGGGGGCTCCAAGGAGAGAAAGATCG